TGTAAACCAGATTTGATTCTTTTATACTCACTGCATCAGATTCCATGTTGCTAAATTTGAATGAAAGTGAATGCCAAACCTTGCTAGCATTATTGTTTTGTCAAGCCAGCTTTCTCTGCCCACTCGACAATAACTTTCCAGAAGACCAGCCGTCACTTTTGGGTCATTAGCACTTGGTTGAGAGGATTACATAGCCACAGGAAAAGCAATAACAACAGTGCTCACAAGCCCGCCGCCCCTTAGGAGTCCATGCGGTGCAATTCACAGACATATTTTCACTTGGATATTAGCGGGTTTGTAAGACCTCCATAATTGCATTGAAAAAAGTCATAACCTGGGGAGCGAGCAAGCCAAGCTGTGTGGTTTATGTTCAGTTGAATGAAGCCATGGATAGTACATCTTTAGATTGGTACAATGTCATCTCAAGGATGGTTTCTCAAAGACTTGTTTTGTAAGACCCCTGCTTTAGTCATGAGCATGACAAATAATTAATATGAAGCACATGCCAAGTTATAGAGATGAAGGCGCTAAAAATGTATCACAAGGTTGAAATTTTTCTGATTAAAGATGCTTCTTTGCTTATCTTTCTGAATAGGATCAACGGCCCTTTTCTTAAGAACCCTTCACATTTCTTGCATCTTCAAGATGTCTTCCTCAGATAATGCTTTTTTTTGCAGTTTAAGGCAAGGGTTTCTTTGAGGAAGGATTCTCTGGCATGGCTCCGCTGCAGAAATAAAAGGACACGGTTTCATCTAAGCAAATACTACACTGACAATCACAGTACAAGATGTGCTGGCCACTATACAACACATACCATTGAAATGCAAAAGCCTCTCTCTCAGAGAAAGACAGAAAGAATGGATTTTTAGGTCATCCTTAATTGAATTTGCTGGCTGATGACAGAGTAATATAGAGACTAATAGCATTGTGTGCGCATCTCGTGTCACTGCTAGAAATGCACTGGAGGAAGGCTCTTTGTGATCACTTACTGACACTGGATATATGAAAACCCTTCATTCATTATGTCTTCGCTTAATAACTTAATAAGCCTTCTCTGTTATGTCCTGTGTAACTAATTTTCTGAAAGTGGTATAGGCTTACGAGGGTTAATGCAACCATTCGTTTTGATTAATTGAATGGAGCATGTAGTGGTGTTTCAACTATGTATTTTTATTTGTTGGTTTTCACTGAAATCAGATCGGTTTTGTTAACTATTGTCTCTTCAAGTTGCTGAGATGAATATTCAT